ACTTCCCCATCTCATATTGAGCGAACTTGGCATATCGTAATACTTAAATAGGACACAGGTCAGGTGCAAAAATGGACAATATTTTTCTGTTATGTTGGAGAAATTCAGAATTCTTTTAAGTAACTTTCCTACACAATTTTAAAAATAAAACGAACTAAATAAAACGAATCGAGTTCCCGATACAGGGTGAAATGAAAAAACTGCAACCAACTTCAGACTGCTGTCATTTCTAAGCCATTCGTCCGACAGCTGTTATATTGTTTACAAGCGTACAAAAGCATTTCGGTGAAAAAGTTATTCGTGATGGAATTTAAGAGTGATACTGTGATTTCCTTTTATTTGGTTGGAAAACCACAAGTGGCTATCGTTAGAGCACTCCAGCATTTAAATGTAAATAAATCATTTGTGTCTCGTACCATCACTCGTTATCGTGATACTGGTAGCGTAGCCCGACGTCAAGGAAGTGGACGGAATAAAACAGCAACATCCGCAGAAATGGTTCGAAAAGTAAAGAAGCGACTTCATCAAAATAGCTCGTTGCAAAATGAGCGATTGAAATTCCAAAAAGTACAAGAACTTACACCGCAACAGAAAGAAAATAGACTCAAAAGAGCTAAAGAGTTGCTTAACTTGGCCGAAAGTGGTGAACTGCCTAATTTGGTGAGAAATTCGATGAGAAAACATTCGTTGTCCAGCAGTTTGTAAACAAACAAACTGATCGTGTTTACTTGCCAAAGAGGTCAGCTGAAAATGTGCACCTTCGGTTGGACACCAGAACTCAAGCGCCGGCCATTGTGATGGTGTGGGCCGCCATAACAGCCGATGGTCGCACTCCGCTCGTATTGATCGACCGTGGCATCAGAATAAATGCCGAATATTATCGCGAAAATATCCTGGAGGCCGTATTTAAGCCTTGGACACGCAAACATTTTGACCGCCGACCATGGTCATTCCAACAGGACTCAGCGCCATCGCACTCAGCACGCGCCACCCAAGAATGGTTACAAAATGAAGTTCCTCGCTTCATTTCAAGCGCACAATGGCCACCAAAATCTCCGGATACCAATCCGTTGTACTATTGTGGCTGGAGTGTTTTGGAAAACAAGGTTGGCACTAAAAAATCCAAAGTGTCGATCACCCCAAGGAAGAGCTTCGCCGGGAATGGGCCAAAATACCGCAGAGCAACATTCGAGCAGCGTGTGACGGTTTCATTGGCCATTTGAAGGCCATAATTCGTGCCAAAGCTGTCCAATTCGAAAAAATCTAAACTTATTCTAAAATTGGATGCTATTTCCGACATTTTTATACCCTCCACCATACTATGGAGGGTATATTAACTTTGTCATTCCGTTTGTAACTCCTCGAAATACTCATGTCAGACACAACAAAGTATATATATTCTTGATCAGCGTAAAATTCTAAGTCGATTTAGCGATGTCCGTCTGTCTGTCCGTCTGTCTGTCTGTTGTAATCACGCTATCTTTCGAACGAATTGAGATACAAGGCTAAAATTTTGCACACAGGTTTATTTTTACAGTAGTAGTAGTTCGTAAATGGGCCATGTAGGTCCACGTTTTCATATAGCCCCCATATAACGGTTACTCCCGATATTCGGTATTTCGATGATTTTAGCGACATTATTCACCGGAATAGTTTCAAATTTAGTATTTGAGGTTTGAAATAGTTACTACAGCCTAAGACAGAAAATTGTCTGTGCAGGTCCACGTCTTCGTATAGCCCCCATATAACGGTACCTCCATATATTCGGTATTTTGGTGATTTTAGCGTCTTTATATACCAATTTTTTTTCAAATTACGCATTTATAGTTCGTAATGGATACTCCAGTCTGTGACAGAAAAATGTCTATGCAGGTCCAGGTCTTTGTATAGGCCCCATATACCAGTAGCTCCCTATATTCGGTATTTTGACGAGTTTAGGTACAATACTCACCGAAGTTGTTTGAAATGTCGTATGTGAAGTTCGTAATGGATGCTACAGAATATGACAAAAAATTGTCTACGCAGTTTCAGGTCTTGGCACAGCTCCGATATAACGGTACCTCCCTATATTCTATACTTTGATGATTTTAGCTACATTATTCGCGTTTATTTCAAGTTCCGAATTTTAATTTGGTAATGACTCATGACAAATAATGCATGTGTGGGTCCACGTCGTATAGGCACCAATATAACGGCAATATTCCGTATTTTTATAATTTTACCAAATTTTTTTCAGGATTTTATTTCCAAATTCGTTCCAAATGGTGGAGGGTATTCAAAGTTCGGCCCGGCCGAACTTACTGCTTTTTAACTTGTTTGCTTTCATTCAATAAAATAAAAAAAAATTAAAAATGATGGCGTTTGTTGCCGTTCCTTATCTTACCCTGTAGAGACCAATCTTAGTCAGTTGTAGAAGATAAAATTTTTAATTCCAAGCTCTTTGGTATCCAATTGCCTCTAAACTTCGCATTTAAAATGGCACAACATCACACCTCTGGTACCTCGTTCCAAAATTGTCAGAATTCTTAGTAATAACATTTATTACGAATAATTGAAGTATTTCTTGTTCCTTAACTTATGGGTCCAGGTTGCGATTTTGAGAAAGTACACTGTTAATTTCTAAAATGCATTATTTTCAGCACATAAATCTATTTTAACAAGTAATAAATAAGTCAAGTTCGACCTGGCCTGGCCAGTTGCAAACCAACACATGCAGGGAAAGCTACAGATGTGATACTCCAGAAATAGAATGAACGAAATTCTCCAGGTATTGCAATGCATAAATGGACTACTTAAAAAATAATTCGAAATATCAAGGTTTACTTTCTAAAATTCGTTTTCGAGCAATGTGTTCATTTCTAATTTAAAAGGTAATAATTAGGCCCTCTTTCGCACAATCCTCACAAATCTACAACCAATATTTTCTAAAAAATACCTTCGACAAAAAAAAAACAAAAAAAACCAAATAAAGCATCAGAGTTGTTGAATCACTGCTTTTGATTCCAGATTGAAAATCACATCTTTTTTCGAAATTCTTGTTTTCCAAGCCTGATGAACATTTCATGGTAGAATTAAGAAGGTAAAGTCATGCAATCATATATTATCATTTTTTTTTAAAAAATTATTCATTTGGCAACATCTCATTGTCAAAATTTGTATTTATAAATCTTTTGTACATACACAAATCAAAGATGGGAACCGGTTTTTATTTAGTGAAATATAACAAGGTAAATTACAGAAAATGCAGAAATGGGCATGCTTATTGAAATGAATTTACCTTCTTTACCATGGAACATTTTATATATATATATATATATATATGTTGCCAAATGAATAATATATATATATATATATATATATATACATATATATATATATATATATATATATATATATATATATATATATATATATATATATATATATATATATATATATATATATATATATATATATATATATGTGGATCAATGTGATTCAGACTCTGGCGAAAGAACTTATTATGAACTACAAATACAGAATTTTAAAGAAATCCGATAGAAAATGCGACCAAAATCATCAAAATAGCGAATGTCGGAAGGTACCTTTATATGGGGACTATTGTAAAACGTGGACCTATATAGACAATGTACTGCTATCGGAAGTAAAGCCGTTTACATACTCTTAATATTAAATTGTAAGTAATTCCGTTAAAACATGCGGCTAAAATCATTCAAATATCGAATGTCGGGAGATACCGTCATATGGGGCATATACGAAAATCTGGACCAATAAATAATTTTCAATACCAACCATCCTAGACACAATATAATTTATTATGCAAAATTTCTTGTTCTACGTCAGATAATACAGGCTGTATCTTGAATAGGGAGGCAGACAAGCGAACATCTTTTAATCGAGTTAGAATTTTTTTGCTGATCATGGGGTCTTCGACAGATATTTTGAGGTTGTAATAACGGAATGGCGATTTTATTTTGTTCGCAACCCTGAAAACTTGTTGCAGAGTGTTACACACGTAAAGAGCTACCCAGGAAATCGACTAGCCCTTTCATTATAAACTACCTACATAAGCTACCAATATCATTTAGCAGTGCTGCCGTAGAGCGGACCCTTCCTTGTACCTAGGTACCGGCAGATCCCTTAACTTTAAATGTCTGCGAATATATTTATTTTTGTAATAATTTGATTTTTTTTCTCTATAGAAGTAATGTAAATAACCCTTCCCTTTCTGAGACATTACACTTCATGTTGTTCATGAATTAGTTTTCTATGTAGATACTATGATTTTATTTAAACAAATCACTGCCAAACTGAAAATTTTTGAAGTGAGAAAAATAAAAACAATATTAAACTGTAAAACAACTGATAGAAACCTTAAATACTCGCTCATATTTAATCCAGCTTTCAGGAAGTGGAAGTCAAAAGGGCAACAACAATGTAGATTTTTTTATAATTACCGGAAATATGTTCATCTCCCAACGAAAAAACGACAACTAATAACATCGAGCCTTAAAAGAGTTCTCGACTCGCAAACACATTCTACCAATCGGATGTACTTACTCGATAACATGGCATTGTAGTGTAACTTCCGATTCGGAACACATCCTCTGCTTGTTATCTTTGCAAGATATTGTACAGAACACTGAGCTTTCTTTCTATGTGCAAAATGTCCAACAATTCTTGTATATTATTCCTATTGTTGTTGTTGTTGTTTTTCTTCTTCTTCCACTTTGTCTTTTTCGTTATATGGAAACATTTCATGTTTATGTAAAAGCATCTCCGTTTCATGCTTTACTTCATAACATTTCATATGCTACTCCTACCCAATTTTGAATTTGTTTATATTGATAGCGCAGTTTTTTTTTTTTTTTTTTTTTTTTTTTGCTTTTTGCTCCACCTCCTACAGCTTCTTTGTACATAGGCAGGAGTATGTCTTTCTGTGTGTTTTCCTATTTGATAGTGTTTCATAAAAATATTTCCCATTTTTATCTTCATTGCAGATCCCATTGCATTGACGGCCGAATTTCTTGGCTTGGACAATCGTTCGACAAATCCAACAACAGCAACAACAATGACAAACAACATTTTAAATTTAGCTAACGTGGGCAACAGCACCAGCACTTCTTCGTCGTCGATTATTGGCAAAGTTTGTGGAGCCGTGGGGGCTAATGGTATTGGTCGCATGGCTGCCATAACTGGCGTTGGAGGCGGAGTTAATGCCTCATCATCCACCACATCGGCTTGCAATGGCACAAGTCTCCAAACCAATATCGATGTCTTGAATTGTAATGGCAATGCAAATGCCTTGGCGGCCGCTTACATGCCACTCACACCCAGCTCCACGCAATCCTCCATATCACCGGGCACAACGGCAACGGGCAACACTTTCGACATGTTCCAGGTAAGTTTTGTAGTAAACGATGACCATACGCCCATGGGCCATCGAAAATAATTGCATTTGATCTTTTTTCTTTCGCCAGCACTTCGAAATGCACCTCAGAAAAATTCCCATTCACTTTATTTGTTGTATTTCGATATTTCATTTGCATTGATTTAAATTTTCAAAAAAAAATATATATATATAGAAAAGCGAAGAAATTACGAACGAAATAATTATAAGCTGACTGAAAATGAAATATTTGACTATTTAAAAAATAGCTACTTCGTTTGTTTAATTTTAAGGACCATATTTGTGGCTAAATTAAATATATTCTAACTTGCGTTACGATAATTCAAAATGTTGACCCTTTATGGAAGAGTTGCCGAAGGAGCGGACGCGGCTCAGCACTATCCATAGACATAAGAGATAAATAAGCAGCTGTATATTTTCTTCGGATGTTAAAATTAATACTGATACAAAAAATACGGATGTGCTAAGTATTGGTTGGAGGGAACACTTCTTTAAATTTTAGATTAGTAGTTGTTAGTTAAAATTTGTCGCATGCTGCAACATTTTTAGACTTTTTGGGGGAGGTACCAGAAGAAGTGCCCCCACTAAGTCCCTATTCATACAATCGGACGAATGGACATCTCAAGATTAACTCTTAGTGTTTCGAAATAGATTTCGCCCAAGACATATTTTGGCCGTATCAAATATTTACCAACTAGACACTAAAAGCTCTTTTTCAAAATTTTAACATCCCAAGCAAAACTCTTTAAGTAATACCACTCTCTCTCGCTCTTTACCTCTTTTTACTTGTTTTGTTGTCAGCATTCATTAATTGATCTACCTGTGTCAGTCCAAGAGCATATCTGGCTTATTGGTGCTCAAAATAACTCTGAAAGGAAATATATGAGTTGATCTAACTTTTGCACACTTTTAAAATTTGTAGATGAAGTTCGAGGATAGATCAGAAACAGAAGACAGAATTTTCAGGAAATATTAATCTCACAAATAGAATAGGGAAAATCCGATTCTGTTAAAATTTCGTTCATTGTCACGTCTCCATATGTAAACCCTAGAAACAAAAGTGGTCTCAATATAAAATTTCAGAAGTTCAGCTCTATGCCTTCAACCAATAATACTCTTCGTACAGTTAAAGTACACGTTTAAAAAAATCGTCATATATTCACCTGAGATACCAACAAAGACCACAATCTCAAATTTCGGAATTTCACCTCTGTTATTTCCCCCATTATCAAATTTTGTATCATTTAGTACAATTATAGTACGCATATCCTAAACCAGCTGCATCCCTCAACCACCGACACTAATAGTAATCTCCATACCGAATTTTACTACTAAATCTCAATCTAAGAGATCTCAATGTCAAATTTCAGGATTCCAGCCCCATCCCTTTACCAAATACCTAATTTAGTAGAACTTAGTACGTTTCGAACAATTATAGTATACGTTCCCGAAACCATATCTATATCTTAACCATAGACACTAACAGTGACATTCATATCAAATTTCTGGATTTCAGCTCTATTCCGTCACCCAATACCAAATTTAAAACCATTTACTACATTTCGTACAATTATAATAAACACTTCTCAATACCAGATACCAACAGATACCTCAATAACAAATTTGAGGATTCCAGCCCCATCCCTTCACTCAATACCAAATTTGGTACAATTTAGTACTTTTCGTACAAATAAAAGACACATTTCCAAACCACCGCCAAATCTCGAACACAGATACCATCAGTAATCTAAATATCAAATTTTAGAATTATATCATCAACAAACAATAAATTTAGTACCATTCAGCACTTTTCGTCGAATTACAGTATACATTTCCGAAACCACCTCTGTTCACCAATTACCAAATTGAATCAAAATACGGGGTAACTGCAACAATGTCAAAAACTATATTTTTTACCTATTGTTGCTCTGCGGTATTTTGGCCCATTCCAACCGAAGCGTTTCCTTGAGGTGATCGACACATAGGTATTTTTAGTGTCAATCTTGCTTTCCAAAATACTCCAGACACAATAGTCCAACGGATTGGTATCCGGAGATTTTTGAGGCCATTGTGCGCTGAAAATGAAGCGAGGAACCTCATTTTGTAAACATTCTTGGGTGGCGCTGACTGCGATGGTTCTGTCCAAGGTCTGTGGCCAAAATGTTTGCGTGCCCAAGGCTTTAATACACCCTCCAGAATACCTTCGCAATAATATTCGACATTTATTCTGATACCGCGGTCGATTAATAAGAGCGAAGAGCGACCATCGGCTCTTATGGCTGCCCACACCATTACCATGGCCGGCGCTTGAGTTCTGGTGGCCAACCGAAGGTGCACATTTTCAGCTGACCTCTTTGGCAAGTAAACACGATCAGTTTGTTTGTTTACAAACTGCTGGACAACGAATGTTTTCTCATCGAATTTCTCACCAAATTTGGCAGTTCACAACTTCCGGCCAGCCGAAGCAACTCTTTAGCTCCTTTAAGTCTATTTTTTTCTGTTGCGGTGTAAGTTCTTGCACTTCTTGGAATGTCAATGGCTTTACCCCGAGCTATTTTTTTAATATTTGCCGAACGTAATATTGCGATATGTTCAGCTCACGAGCCATTTTTCGGCCACTGCGACTTTCGAACCATTTCTTCTGATGTTGCGGTTTTCTTCCGTTCACTTCCATGACGTCGGGCTACGCTTCCACACCACACAAAAGATATATTTATATTTATATGCTGGAGTGCTCTAACGATAGCCGCTTGTGGTTTTCCAGCCAAATATAAAGAAATCACACTATCACGCTTGAATTCCATCACGAATAAGTTTTTTTCAGAAAATTCTCACCAAAATGCTTTTGTACGCTTGTAAACAATCGGACGAGTGCCTTAGAAATAACAGCAGTCTGAAGTTGGTTGCAGTTACTTTTATTTTTACTTTTACAAACCACAAACCACAAACATACCACTAAAAGGGACCCCGATACAAAGCTGTTTCAAATTTAGTACTGTTTGTTTGTCAGAAAAAGCAGAGGTGGGTTTGCTTATTTGAAATGACTTTACCTTCCTTATTTTACCATGATATCAAATATATTTTCCAACCTTGATTCTCATAACAAATTTCAAGCTTTTAAGTCTATTCCTTCACATAATACGAAATGGAAGCACTTTAGAAGTTTAGTACCATTTTGGAAGTATTCGTAACCTTAAAGTTCGAATTTCCAAAAATCCTTTGGTACATCTATCCTGCACTCCATCAGTAGCTCTCATTCCAAATTTTAGAATTAAATTTTTATCACACGCACCGAGACCGAAACCGTTTACATAAAAATTCTGAAAGTTCTTCTATAGTTCTTATATAGTATAAGAATTTTGGAAAATCTTTTCCCCAAAGATTGTTGGAGTTTCTACATTATTGATGGTAAGGGGGAAGGACCTGCTGTTTTTAAAATTGTCTTTAATGTAATCAATTTGTAACATTATTATTTTTTTTGTTAGATCTTCTTAAAATTATAATTAAACTACATCCTCAGCTTATGATTATTTCGTCGCCAATTTTACTGCAAAACAATGTTTAATGATAATGTGTTTCAATTTCAATCATTTTTTTTTCATATCAATTTTTTCATGTTAACTACTTTTTAACCAAACAAAAAAAATGATCGTCTTTCAACTACTACTGTGTAATGCTTTCGAACTGTTCTTAACTACCAAACTTTCCATCACCACCACCATCATCACTACAACTGAAACTTATATCACCTCTTTCTTTCTTTCTCTCTCTTCTTTTCTTATACTACCGCTTATAAATTATTAAAAAAAAAACAATCTCTAGTTTGACAATATTGCACCATCACAACAACACCAACAACAAAATACACCACTCAAGGTGTTCCAAAGAAATATCAGCTTCGATTGTTCTGCACCCTTATCGCCCAGTACGCCTACATCTCTTTATAATAACTCTTTTCAAAGTTCACCCTTAGTCAGGTAATAATCAAATGAAATGAGCAAAAAAATAATAATTAACAACATTTTAAATGTGATTAGTTAATGCTATGGTCTCCGTTTCAATTTTTATTTAATAATTTACAATGTGTGTAGTTGTAGATGTGTGTGCGTGCTCGTCAGTGTGTTTGATATTTTTCAAAATATCCTGGTTTTGATAATAATTTTGTTTTTATTTAATTTTTGCTTTTTTTAACGAAATCCTTTAGCGATAGCAGCAATTCATCCTCAGCCAATGGCTTGTCTTTGGACTCCATACCCATGGTCTATCAGAATGGTTACAATACCAATGGACTGACTTCAACCCGTTCCACATCGCCTGAGAGTCAAAATAGTAATCAATCGAATGAGAATAACTTGATTGATATGATGGTAAGTATTTTTCACATTTCCCCATTGATGAATAATTTAGAGAGGGAGATATAGTCAAAGTTTAATGGGAGACAAGTTTATTATAAATTAATACCAGTTTGTAGAGGATTTATTTAAAATTAAACCCATGCATCCTATAATCGTACTTCACCTAAGCTCGTTAGAAAATAGTTAGAGGAAATTCGGACGCTAATTTTACATTTTTCACAATTTTGTCCACTTGTGGGGAGAAATTCCTCTTTTCTGGCTCAAGTTTAACAAAAATCTTACGATGGGCAAGGGTTTGACTTTGTCTTCGTTCGCCTATTAAAGGGGTATAAAACAGTGACAATTTTAAGGAGGTAGATTATATTGTCAGAAATATTGAAAAATAAAAAGTTAAAGAAATCAGACAAAAAAAATTACGTTTTGTGAGAGAAATTATTATTCAAAATTATCAACCTCATATGGAGGCTATACGAACACCTGCGTACGCAATTTTATACCCTCCACCAAAGTATGGAGGGTATATTAAGTTTGTCATTCCGTTTGTAACACCTCGAAATATACATTTTAGACCCCACCAAGTATATATATTCTTGATTAGCATACAATTCTATGTCGATTTAGCGATGTCCGTCCGTCTGGCCATCTATCCGTCTGTGGAAATCACTCTAGCTTTCGAAAGAAATGAAGTAGGTTGATAAAATTTTACTCAAATGTATATTATTTCTGCAGGCCTTTTGGTATTGAAAATGGGCCATGTAGGTCCACGTTTTGGTATAGCCCCCATATAACGGTACCACTCGATATTCGGTACTTTGATTTAAGCGACATAATTCAGCGGAAACGTTACAAATGTGGTATTTGAAGTTCGTAATGTATACTACAGCCTATGACAGAAAATTATTTGTGCAGGTCCAAGTCCTCGCATAGACCCCATACAACGGTACCTCCTGATATTCGGTATTTTGATGATTTTAGCGACTTTATTCACCGGAATTGTTTCAAATTTGGCATTTGAAGTTCGTAATGAATACTACAACCTATGACTCATTTTACTATAACCCACATGATACCTCCCTATATTCGGTATTTTGATTAAGTTTCGCATTTGAATATTGTAATAGCCAAAAGTTTCCTATGCAGGTCTATGTCGTCGTATAGACCCTAATATAACGGCTACTTTCCTTATTTTTAAGATTATAACCGGTTTTTTAACGGATTTTATTTACTTTTTTTTATTTATTTATTTATTTATTTTTTTTTTTTTGGAAAATTGCCAAATTCGTTCCAAATGGTGGAGGGCATTCAAAGTTCGGCTCGGCCCAACTTACAACTTTTTTACTTGTATGTAATAGACTGTAGTACCCATTAGGACCTTCAAATATGAAATTTAAAACAATTCTGTTGAATAAAGTCGCTAAGATCATCAAAATATCAATATATGTGAGGTTTACGAAGACGTGGACCTGCATAGAAAATTTTCTGTCATATGTGGAAATATCCATAACGAACTTCAAATACGAAATGTGAAACAATTCCAGTTAATAACGTCGCTAAAATCATCAAAATACCGAATACCGGGAGGCATCGTTATATAGAGCTATATGAAGATGTGAGCCTGTATAGACAATTTTCTGTCAAGTATCTATTTCGCACTTTAAATACGAAAATTAAAACAATTTCGGTCTATAATGTGTCTAGTTCCATAAAAATACCGAATATTGGGAGGTACAGTTGTATGGGGTCTAGACGAAGACGTGGACCAGCATAAGTATTTTTTTTCTCATAGGCTGTAGTACCCATTAAGATCTTCCAATATGAAATTTGAAACTATATTGAGAACAAGTGTGACGACGGATTTATGATATTGTTGTGCTATTTTACGTTTTTGGAGAGTTAGGATCATTAAAAAAATTGAAGCTTTGTGTGGGGAGGAATAAGAAGTAGTGGGCCCAGTTTCATACCTGATGTAGTCGGATATATATATTATGACGTCCGAATTGAATGCTTGCTTCGCCTTCTACAAGAAAGCTTAAGTTTTTGATGGGGAGGTAAACGAAGAATAGAGGAGGAGAGATCTACGAATTATTCCGCCTTGTATGATTCTTTATAATATTGCTCCTTTGTGGAAGTACAAAAAGCTGTCGAAGCATCTTCGCAAATCTCGGCGAAGAGAATGGCCACTTGGCTTTTAAGATTTTGATTGGACGACTTTGGTGAACTGCGAGCTCTTTAAGTTTAGAGCATTTTCAAGTCAATGGGAATCAGACTCATTTACATTTATTGGCTTAACTTTCGATTTTTTTTTTTTTTTTTTTGATTTTTTTTCCAGAGGTAGGCATTTTCATCCTCATTCCGGGAAATTATTTTTTCTTGGAGGACGGATCCGGATATTTAAAGTTTTTTTTTTTATTCTGGAAACATAATTTCAATATAATGAACATAGTCACACTATCACGCTTGAATTCTATCACGAATAACTTTTTTTTCTGGAAAATGCTCACCAAAATGCTTTTGCACGCTTTTAAATAATATAAACAACTGTCGGAGGAGTGGCTTAGAAATGACAGCAGTCCGAAGTTGGTTGCAATTTTTTCATCCACCTCTGTATGGTGACAAAAAATAACGAATATTTGGAGGTACCGTTATATAGGGGCTATGCAATGCCTGCATAAGTAATTTATTGTCATAGATTGTCATAGAGGAATTTGTAGACTTTGTTGGGTCTGATATGAGTATTTCGAGGAATTACAAACGGAAATACAAAGTTAATATACTCTCCAAAGTGGGGGCTATAATATTTCTAAAACGATAACTTTTATCAATAAAGTATAAAATGCGTCTTTTATTATAAAATTTAGGAATTTAAAATATAAAATTAAAAAAAAAAATTATATTTTTTTAGAAATTCCTCAAGGTTGCTGCCAACAATCAGCAAAATCAATTGCCGCAGCAGCAGCAGCAACAACAGTCGCTAAACATTCAACAGGATGCAAACCTACAGCAGCAACAACAACAGCGCCTAAAACAACAACAACAAACTGAATTCCTTAATACCGATTTTGATAGCATCAGCAATCCTACAAATCTTTTCGATGAACAAAATCTGGAAAATTTCGAAGCTTTGTCGGCTTTCGATATGGAACTATCCAAGTTGCAGGCCCTGAATGCTGTTACCCTGTGGCAGGCTCAACAACAACAAATGCCTTTGCTGCAAAATCTCTTGCAGACCTACAATACCATCAATCAATTTCAGAACTGGCAATTACAGCAGCAGCAGCAACAACAGCAGCAGCCGCCTGCTCCTCCCCCACAACAACAGCAACAAACGGTACCCCCATCGATACCGCAACGTTTAAACAACGGTAATAATTTTATCAACGCTTTTAATTTTAATGGTACCGAGCAGCCCCCCTTAGAGCAAGCAGCAAAGTTCTATCGAGGATCTGCAGCGTTTTGTGAGCCCACCTGTACATGGAGCGGTCAATTGCCACCACGGTCACATCGTCTCTATCAATTCTCACCCAAAGTGTTTTTGGGCGGCATACCCTGGGACATTAGTGAACAGTCGTTGATACAAATCTTCAGGCCATTTGGCCAGATAAAGTAAGAAAATGGACAACATTATTTATTGAGGATATTGAAATATAATTGCTTATTTTAAGGGTTGAGTGGCCAGGCAAGGAAGAGGAAGGCACCCAACAACCAAGAGGCTATGTTTATATTATATTCGAATCGGACAAACAAGTCAAGGCTTTACTCTCCGCCTGTGCTGTCCAGGCCGATGAGCGTCAACATGGTGATGGTATTTTTTATTTTAAAATCTCCTCGAGGCGCATCAAGGCAAAGGATGTAAGTATTAAAAACCAGAAATAACTGCAACATCAAACTAATCGCATTTTGGTCCGACAGGTTGAAGTTATACCCTGGTTAATTGGTGACTCGAATTATGTCAAATCTACTTCTCAAAAGTTGGATCCTACCAAAACTGTATTCGTTGGTGCCCTGCATGGCAAGTTGACGGCCGAGGGTTTGGCCAAAATTATGGATGATCTCTTTGATGGAGTTCTATATGCAGGTATGTCTTTTCCTACTATTTCAGATGCCATGTGTTCTTATTTTTTCGTTTTCTTTTTAAGGTATCGACACGGACAAATACAAATATCCCATTGGTTCGGGACGTGTAACTTTCAACAACAATCGCTCCTATTTGAAAGCCATTTCGGCTGCATTCGTCGAAATTCGCACACCGAAATTCACCAAAAAAGTGCAAATCGATCCATATCTCGAAGATTCTCTATGCTCAATATGCGGAGTACAACACGGACCATATTATTGTCGAGAACTCAGTTGCTTCAGGTGAGAGTCCGTAGAGGTTGGTTAGTATTGAAAAGGAAAACCAAAAAAACTTAAACAAGTATAAATATTATGCATTTTGTACAAATCATCCTGAAAGGTTAAAAAATGTAGTACTTTTAATATTCCAGTGTGGAATATTCATATACCATCTATACAGAATATACAGGGTGAAACTGCAACAAAGTCAAATGCCATAATTTTTACATTTTTTTTTTAATTTTATTGAATGAAAGCAAATAGCATCACATTTTTTGTGTAAGTTTAGTTTTATGGCCTTCAAACAGCCAATGAAACCATCACACCTTGCCCGAAAGTTGCTCTGCGGTATTTTGACCCATTACCGGCAAAGTGCTTGCTTGAGGTGATCAACACTTTGGTATTTTTTAGTGCCAACCTTGCTTTCCAAAATACTCCAGACACAATAGTCCAACGGATTGGCATCCGAAGAATTTGGTGGCTATTGTGCGCTGTAAATGAAGCGAGGAACCTCATTTTGTAACCATTCTTGGGTGGCGCGTGCCGAGCGCAATGATGCTGAGTCCTGTTGGAATGCCAAAATGTTAGCGTGTCCACGGCTTTAGAACACCCTCTAGAATGTTTTCGCGATAATATTCGTCATTAATTCTGATGACACGATCGATTAATACGAGCGGAGAGCGCCCATCGGCTGCTATAGCGGCACACACCATCACCATGAACGGCGCTTGAGTTCTGGGGGCCAACCCAGGTGCACATTTTCAGCTAACCTCTTTGACAAGTAAACACACGTTGTTGGACAACGAATGCATTCTCATCGGAGAAAACCAAATTTGGCAGTTCTCCACTTTCGGCCATTACGACGTGGGTTTCGATCAAGTCGCTTCTTTACTTTTCGGCCCATTTCTGCTGATGTTGCTGTTCTCTTCCGTCCACTTCCTTGACGTCTGGCTACGCTACCAGTATCACGGTAACAAAAGATTTATTCACATTTAAATGCTGAAGTGCTCTAACGATAGCCACTTGTGGTTTTCCAGCTAAATATAATGAAATCAAACCATCATGCTTGAATTCCATCACGAATAACTTTCTCACCAAAATGCTTTTGTGCGCTTGTAAACAATATAATGAACTGTCACTGGAATAATTTTAACGAGTGGCTTAGAAATGGCAGCAGTCGTTTAGGGACTGGTGTATGGAACTTTGAACTAGACTGACACAACTCTTCCACAGGTCTTGTATATACAGGAGAACCTTATATAAAAATAAGCCTTTTCGCAGGTCTTTTTATACACTGGAAACAAAAGAACTTCCACTGTTCTTCTTTACACCAAAAAACGTTCACTGGTCTTATACATACAGATGACCCTCCAGTAGCATTTTTTGTACAGATTTTCCAACACAAATTGGCTTTCACGGATTTTTTACTATTACCTTATAATAGCAAAGTCGCTCTTTGTCAATTTCCATGTCCAAGTGCTATTCATTGTCTAAATACCAATTGTGCCAAAGTTAGTACCATGCATTACTTTTCTTACATCTTTAGTAGGAATTTTAAGCTTTTTCAGGTGAGACTGGCTCGTAAACTGAACATATCGCAATATTTCATTCGGAAAATATTGAAAAATGATCTCGGGGTCGAGCCATTGAAATTCCAAAAAGTGCAAGAACTTACACCGCAACAGAAAGAAAATAGACTCAAAAGAGGTAAAGAGTTGCTTCACTTGACCGAAAGTGTGAACTGCCGAATCTGGTTTTCTCCGATGAGAAAACATTCTTTGTCCAGAAGTTTGTAAACAAACAAAATTATCGTGTTTACTTGCCAAAGAGGTCAGCTGAAAATTTTTACCTTCGGTTGGCCACCAGAACTCAAGCGCCGGTCATGGTGATGATGGTCGCTCTCCGCTCGTATAAAACGACGTGGCATCAGAATAAATGCCGAATATTATCGCGAAAATATTCTGGAGGATGTATTAAAGCCATGGGCACTCAAAACCTGTATACCCTTCACCATAGTACGAAGACTCCTTAAACAGATAAATTTCATTTATTTTAAACATTTTTAAAACTTTTATTTATAATATCAACCCCTTCCTCCAAGAAGCATTGCGTGAAATGTAATGCAAAAAAATGGAAACTTTAATACTAAAAAGAAAGATATAAGAAATATTACCCTGAGTAGGAGTCGATTTTTTCGAATTATACCCCGACTCTAGCAAATTTGTTCGCATAAACCCTTCACAAGTCGCTATTCGCCGAATATCTTCCTTATATACAGAAATTTTTCAATCTTTATGTGAATCACTATCACTGGCTGCCGTTTCAAGTTATATCCTCTTCTTGTATGCCGCATTGACTAATATTTCCATTTTTATGCATCAATTTTCAGATACTTCTGTCGCTCCTGTTGGGAATGGCAACACTCAACCGATCTCGTCAAATATCACAAGCCGTTGAGCAGAAATTCGAAATCTCAGACATTGGTTGGCATCGGACCAGCCACTTCGACGGCATCAATTGCATCGAATGCCTCTACCCCATCATTGCCATCGATTAATTCCCGCCCAGTATTGAATTGTCGTCAAACTCCCCAGCCAGTGGTTGGTCAAACGCAAGCACAAGAATCGTTTAATGCAATTCAACAGCAGCAACAACAACAGCAACATCATCGTCGCCAGCAGCAACAGCTACAGCAGACATCTCAGGCTGGCTTTCAGTTGCAGACACAATCCTCTCAATCACAACAGCAGCAGCAACAACAACAACAGCAAATTCCTGCTCTGAATGCCTTTCATTTTTAGAAAAGAGAAGATCAAGCAATTGATGAGAGATGTTAGAGAACATCTCATAAAGAAAATGTTAGAGAATCACGAGGAGAACATTGATTGTTTTGATGTTGAAGTTAATTTTTTTAAGAAGCCTTATTTTATTTATTATCATTGTTGTATATAAATAGGGAGTTTAACGTCTCGAAGAGAGAGACACAAGTTTAGGTTTTGAATTCTATCCTTGCAAAGGAAACAAACACCCGCTCACTCACAAACGAGCAACCCATCATCATTATTGTATTTATAAAACATATCAGCATCATTTTGTTTAAATGCGAGAGATAGAGGAAGAGATGAAGAATTTTTAATGGATCTCTTATTTTTATATTATATCTCTTTTTTTCATAAAACTCATTAGAAGTTCTGCTTTCAGTTTATGTATTGTGGTGCAAAGCCAAGACAAGTGGCGATGGCTTTTTTCTTGATCCATGTTTTGCACTTTATTCTGTTTTCTTCATGTTCCAAATGTTTTGCTTGTCAGTGCCTTTTTTTTTTTTTTTTGTTACAAAAAAATTCTTTGCTATTTTCTAGAAATACTTGAGTTTATTTCTACTAAATTTAGCTTAAAAATGTTACAACATTTAGAATTCATGTTTTCGTTTTATAATTTATTTTGGAAAATTGCAATTTTTTATTAAAAATGTATTAAAAAAATTGTGAAATTTTCCTATTTCTGTTTAGTATTGTCAAATGTTTATTATTAAATTTATATTTCTTGTTATTTATTCATTTTTCAGTTTATACAAATTACTATATATAGAATATTATAATTATTTTTAGTATATTCTTTTTCTCTAAAATTTCATTCGTTTTGTAATTTATTGTTTGTTCATATTATTATTTTATTTTGGGCTATTTATTTTTCGTTTGAGTTTTTTTCTTCTGTTTTGAGAGCTGAATATTTTTATTTTTTAAGTTTACTTAATGCCATGTGTATGCAGAGTTGTAATTATTTTTTCATAAATAAAATTCTTCAATATTTTCTTCTTTGAAAGCTTTTTGTTCAACGATTTTGTTTGAAATATAAATATACTCCAAATCTTTTGGAAAATAAAATATTTGTTGGTTTTTTTGATTTTATTTATTTTAATTTATACATTCTGTATAATTTTTATACTTCCATTGGATAAAGGAAATATTATTTTCACGTTACATTAGACAATGAAGTCATTTGAATAATGTATATGGTATATAAACGTTATTTGGATAAAGTCAATAATACTTAAAACTTATTAGGATAGGGTGGTTGATATTTTGGATAATATTTACACGATTTTGGATATCATAGATAATATTTAAACGCTTTTTGGATACCGTGGATAATAATTCAACTTTATGTCGATAACGTGGATAATATTTAAACGTTATGTGCATAAAGTTGATACCATTTAAACGTTATTTGGAGGATGTGGAGAATATTCAAACGTCATTTAGATAACGTGGATAATATTTAAGGGGCATTCGGATGACGTGGATAATATGTAAACGTTATTCGGATAAGGTGGATAATATTTAAACATTATTAGGGTAACGTGGGTTATATTTAAACGTTATTCGGATAACGTGGATAATATTTAAACGTTATTCAGATAACGTGGATAATATTTAAATGGCATTCGGATGACGTGGATAATATGTAAACGTTATAAGGATAACGTGAATAATATGTAAACGTTATTTGGATAACGTGGATGATATGTAAACATTATTTGGATAACGTGGATAAATTTAAACGTTGTTCGGATAACGTGGATAATATTTAAACGTCATTTGAATAACGTGGATAACATTTAAACGTCATTTGGATAACGTGGATAATATTTAAACGTCATTTGAATAACGTGGATAACATTTAAACGTCATTTGGATAACGTGGATAATATTTAATGGTTTTTTTCGGATAAAGTGGATAATGTCTAAACGTTATTCGGATAACGTGGATAATATTTAATGTTTTTTCGGATAAAGTGGATAATGTCTAAACGTTATTCGGATAACGTGGATAATATTTAATGGTTTTTTTCGGATAAAGTGGATAATGTCTAAATGTTATTCGGATAACGTGGATAATGTCTAAATGTTATTCGGATAACGTGGATAATATTTGAACCTCATTTGGATAACGTGGATAATATTTAAAGGGCATTCGGATGACGTGAATAATACCTAAACGTTATTTGTATAACGTAGATAATACTTAAACGTTATTCGGATAACGTGGATAATATTTAAACGTAATTCGGATAACGTGGATAATACTTAAACGTTATTTTTTCAGATAAAGTGGATAATATTAAATGTTATTTTTTCAGATAAAGTGGATAATATTAAATGTTATTTTTTCAGATAAAGTGGATAATATTAAATGTTATTTTTTCAGATAAAGTGGATAATATTTAATGGTTTTTCGGATAAAGTGGATAATATTTAAGTGTTATTCGGATAACGTGGATAATATTTAAACCTCATTTGGATAACGTGGATAATATTTAAAGGGCATTCGAATAACGTGGATAATATTTAAACGTTATTCGGATAACGTGAATAATATTTAAACGTTTTTCGGATAACATGGATAATATTTAAATGTTTTTCGGATAACATGGATAATATTTAAATGTTATTCGGATAAAGTAGATAATATTTAAACGTTATTCGGATAACGTGGATAATATTTAAACGTTATTTGGATAAAATAGATAATATTTAAACGTTATTTGTAAATTGTTGAAATCTTCTCTGCTAGTCACTTTTCAGAATATTCATAGAACCACTTTCTAAGTCGATTTGTGTATGTCAGTCCGTCCGTCCATTCATGTATTGTTGTGAACAAAATGCAGGTCGCATTTATTATCCGATTGAGATGTAATTTTTCAAACAATATCTGTTTGGCCCAAGGACAAAGCCTATTGAAATTGGTAATAATCGGATCAGATTTAGATATAGCTCCCATATATCTTCAACTGTTTTGGGGTTAGTTGTGCACCGAATGGCCAATGTAAGTACTAATGAAATGAATTTTGAAACATCCCATCGAATTCCGTCTAGAAGCAAGTACATCAATTTTGGTTCGGTTCAGGTATAGCTATAGCTTCCATATTTTTGTTTCATCCGATTTGGGGTTTTAAGTCCCTCACATTCGTAATATACATTCGACAAATAATATTTGGTACCAGATATCAGATACAGTCCACAAATATCTATGCCAAATTTTATCAGGATCGGTTCAGATTTAGATATAGCTTTCATATATATATTCAATCGATTTCGGGTTAATTGTGCACCAAATGGCCAATATCAACCTAAACGGATAGAATTTCGGGACGTACATTATAATCCTTCTCGAAATGATATAAAGCACTCTATAGCAATTTTATTTAGCATAAAAGATTAAAATGTCCGTCACAATTAGTGAAAATCGATTCAGAATTAGATATGCCTCCTATATACATATTAGTTCCCTCTGAAACCAAACTATAACTGCTCTAAACACAAATGTTGATAGGTGGTATGATCTACATCAAATAAATTCTTTTGTTACGGGAGCTCTACTTAAAATACATAGTGGCTAGTCGACTTTTAACTTTAGCTTACTGTTTTTTTTTTTTTTTAATTCTTTAGCTCCTTATTTGCCTTCTTTGTTAATTATTTTAACATTTTTCCTGTCTATTTGAGTTGGTTTTGATCCAAAATTTCAACAATACTTAAACTCGTTCTAAAAACGAAATGATGCTAATCATTTTCATCATAATATGAAAACATATTCATGGCATATTATTTAAATTCTCTAGATAATCACAAAAACATATTGAAACATTAATTATAGAAGAACAAAATCCCCAAAAATGAAAGGAATTAACAACAAAACAAAATTTTAAACACGAAACCAAAAACAACATTTTTAAATCCACGACATACAGGGATTTTACAGTAGTCGACAAACCAAAAAAAAAAAAAAAAAACAAAAATTATGGAAATTTTTAAAACAAATCTGAAAGAAAATAATAATTAAACACTAATACCTAAGTAAAATAATAATACCCCTAACCTAACAATGCAACAACCACATAAATGCCTCTTAACTATGGTTTCTGTTGTAGATTAGGTTGCCCCCATATATGGTCATGATTTTGTTTATTTATTCAATCAACCAAGTTGTTAAATTAAAAAAAATATATATACAGATATTTAGATATATATTCGTGAGAATGCAAAACAAAAAAAAAACTTAAATTAAAATCAAAATGGGATTTTCAAGGCAAAATTTGACAAACACTTTGGTAAGATTCAAAAAAAAAAAATTGAAAATTATATAAAAAATTAAAATAAACACAAAAAACTAATTTATAAAAAATTTGTTTTTGAAAACACAAATAGGCATTAGGTCAGACAGGGTAGCATAATAATGACGATGACTTGAAAAACTACGGATAATGACAACAAATACTATGTTAATAACTAAATAGTAATAAATATAAATAAATAATAATAAATGTTAAGTAAACAAAACAAAAACATTTTTGCTAAGATTCATAAAAACAAATGTGTTTAATTTTATTATTATTTTTCTTAATCCCAGTGCCTTTTTGTGTTTTCTATTTTAAAACTAAAATATTATTGTAAACAAAAAACCTATACATTATATACAACATTAAAGAAAAAACATAAATATACACATATATAAACAAAATATGGTGCTTTAGCTGAATTATAAAGAAACAAAAAAAAAAACACAAAAAAGATTTTAAAAAATGTGTCTTGACAGCAAATCAAGAACAACAAATTACCAAAAAAAAAAACCAAAAACATATTCAGAATGACAGCATATTTAAAAAACGATCTTAATACCGATAATCAATATTCAATACAAAATGTAAAATTAAAAAAAGAAACATAATTTGTTTTTATGAATATAAACTTACACTATTTCTAAACACTAAAGTAACAACAAATACCTATTTCAAAATCAGAAAAATTTTAAAATATTCTTAAATCAACACTTAAAAATATTTTCATGATTCTTTCGAGCAAACTTAACAAATATACGCGGACTCCTTGGACAAAATGGGAATTTTGTGGGAAATTAGACTTATACCTTGGAATAAAGCAGAAGTGGACTTGTTCAACAGTATTATTATTTGTATTATTTAAATTTTAACATTTTTTTTTAAATTTTAACAATAAAGAACAACGTTAACTTGAGCCGTTAGGAAATTTTGCTCGCTCTATTAGCACATATTTAATTTTAATTTGAAAGAGCTTAGCAAATTTGAAACTAATGTGGAATTTAATTCTCTTCAATTTAATTCCTTTGCAAGTGGTGAAAAATGTGGACAGCGCTTTTCCAAGCTCCAACATCTCATCAACATAATTCAATAATATTCCTCCGAATGTAAAAATGCATCGACGTTATCAGGGGGTGCGCAGGGGGCTCAATAGAAAATAATTACATAAAACTAAAATTATTTTGGAAAATCTTCTAAATCTTACAACCGCACTT